CCCTCTGAGCTCCCTGGCACCAGGGACCACTGTTTTAGAGAATATGGAAAATTTACAGGAAAACTTCTCTCCCAGTGCCCGCCCAGTGCACTTGAAGTGTTAGAACACAAGCCCATTCTCGCTCCAAGTGAAATGCCTTTGCATCCACTACCTCTGGGAGAACTGGGCAGGAGGAGCACGCTGCTTCCATCCCCTTTAGAGACACGTTGCCCAGTGCCCTCCCTGCCAGGCTTACGCTGGGAGTTTGGGATAACGCATCCAGAAGCACTGCCGGGAAATGTCGGTGTATCTCCGGCAGTGGCCTCACACAACAAATCCTGCGCGGACCCTACCGACCTCTCAAATCCATCTCTGACTCACCAAACCCAGTTGAAAGGACAGCGCCGTGACCCAGCCAGCTCACCCACCTCCTGCGCCAGCAACGGGATTCATCTGGGATGGACCCCTGGCCCGGGATATTTATACTGGTCCGGAGAGTGCCCGGAGCACCGCGGGGCACGGGCGGTTGTGCTCACACCCCGACGCAGCTGGCAAAGGGCACCAGGGACGTCACCAGCTCATTTTCCCGGCGTGTTCCCTACGACTGCGCTAATTGGGTGGGGATTGCACAAGCCCTGCAGACCTTCAGGTTGTCCCCGAAGCCACTTTGGCAAATCCTCACCACCCCATCATGTGTCACCACCCCGACCACTGTGACTTCTGCAAAACTCGTTGCCTGGTCCTGCGTCCCAAAGCAGTTCCCAGGGCGATGCAGGAGCAGGGACCTGTCAATCAGGTGTGAGTTCTTCCGTAGACTGAAAGTCCTTTGGGACCAGGACGTGAACGACGATGGAGAGGAATTTGGGAGCTTTGAGAGAGATCTCAAACCAGACAGTTCTGCTATAAAACTTTTTATCTGATTCTGTCCTTGTTCCTGACTTTAGCCGAGAGCAATGAATTTGTTGGGCTATTGAAAGCGCAGGGACCCTGAGCAGGCTGTGCAGTGGGGTCAGGGGAACTGCAATCAGCAGCTTCCTGACTGCCACAACCCTTCGGGGGAGCAGTCAGGGACCTCTGGGGACCGTCAGGGACCTCTAATCCAGGAAAGCAAACCAATCAACTGATAACTCCGTCCTGGCTGCCGAGTTACCATCTCATTTTAGGCAGGACAGCTTCCAAGGATGTGCTATTCATCATCTGCCTGTCTGCTCAGTGGGGATTTTTATTAATTAACTGACATTTGCTAAGACATTATGATGATGGAGGTAAGATGAAGTAAAATCATTAAGCTTTGCTGCTCCAATTTATGACTCACAGAGCTCTGCAGATGAAGAACAATTAATAAAGCACCATTGTTCGTCGACAGCTATAAAAATGAATGAAAATGTGGTACTTTAACTCGAAACACTCGAGGCTTTGTTCGTGACGAAGGCTGTGCTGGTCTCTGTCTATTCAGCGAAGCATTCAAATGAACTTGAAGAGCATTTTCCTTTAAAGCATATGCTTACAGCTTGACTCAGCACAAGCCTGGAGCATGATCTCCACTTCAGGCACAGGCTTGACTCCTTCTGAGCGCACGTCAGCGTGAAAAGCCTGACCTTGCACCGACCGAGGAGAAAGGAGCGTTTCCTACAGCAATTCCATTGACTTCTACTTATCTCATACAATCATAGAATGACAGAAGGGTTTGGGTTGGAAGGGACCTCAAAGATCATCCAGTTCCAACCCCCCTGCCATGGGTAGGGACACCCTCCACTACACCAGGTTGCCCAAAGCCCCATCCAACCTGGCCTGGAACACTTCCAGGGATGGGGCAGCCACAGCTTCTCTGGGCAACCTGTGCCAGTGCCTCAGCACCCTCAGAGGGAAGAATTTCTTCCTTAGATCCCATCAAAATCTCCCCTCTTTCAGTTTAAAGCCATTGCCCCTTGTCCTGTCACTACACACCCTTGTCCAAAGCCCCTCTCCAGCTTTCCTGTAGCCCCTTTAGGTACTGGAAGGTGCTGGAAGGTCCCCCCAGAGCCTTCCCTTCTCCAGGCTGAACAACCCCAACTCTCTCAACCTGTCTTCATAGGAGAGGTGCTCCAGCCCTCAGATCATCTTCATCATCTCCCACAGCTTTTGAGATTTTATTGATTTTGTTGCATGTACTATGGGGATGCCATGAAAAAACTTCAGGAAAATCCCTTCCTCCTCCCCAGCAAAGGATCCTTGTGACCCAAATGTGCCTAGAAATAGCCTATCACATCAACTGAGCTAGGAAAAAAAAAAAAAAGATCTTTCAAGAGTGATAAATTAAATACAAAGTGCAGAATTTCTGGTTTCACAGCTCGTGTGAGTTATTAAGCTAACATTTTAACCACGTTAGAAATATAAATCTTGCTGATCAGCTGGCTAATGTCCCATCACGCACGCCCCTTCGGGCATTAATCGCCAACCCAGTGATTCATTGACTCGGGACATTAGCCCGTGCGGTTTGCTCCCTGACCCGGCCGCCACATCCATCCAAGGAGCAGAGCAGCGGGACGGCTGCGGGTTTAAAACTGTCTCGTGGGTTGTATGAAACAGTTCCTGGAAACCCAGGGAAGCAAAAGGATCCATGAAACGCACCCATCCGGTGCGACGACACGCAGCCCTTCCCAACCAAGCCGCTGCTAAGATGCAGGTGAAAATGTGGGAATGCATCCCGCCCCAGGAGAGGGTCCCCGGCGTGCTGAGGATCACTCACTGGAGTGGCATCGCCCCAAGCAAAGTGCCAGTGGGTGAACGCAGTAACCCAGCACGTGGGCAAGCGCTGCCCTGTCCCTGCCATTCCCTGTCCATTTTCCATCATTTTTCCTTGGTTTGGAAGCAATTTGGAGGCAAGCCTTTTGTTTTGTGTTTGTGCAGCACCCGCCCAGGGAGATCCTACCTCCCACTAGCTCCACAGTGAAGATGACGATGGCACAAGACTCCTGGGCATTTATGAAGGGGTCCCTTCCCAGGACCGTGCTCAGCCTCGTGCCACCCCAGAGCACACGCTCGTTTTACCAGCACTGCTGCCGTGCTCAGAGTCAGAACGTGCCCGAGCTCATCGCCCAGGAGAGGACAAGGAGGGGAAACAGTGAAGAAGGCAGCAGAAATAACCGCGTGAGCTAAAGCGTGTAACGGAGACACCAGTGAACAATATCGTTCCTTAACATTGACAGATTTATGGAATCCTAGAATCACAGAATGGTTTGGGTTGGAAGGGACCTTCAAGATCATCCAGTTCCAACCCCCTGCCATGGGCAGGGACACCTTCCACTACACCAGGTTGCCCAAAGCCCCATCCAACCTGGCCTGGAACACTGCCAGGGATGGGGCAGCCACAGCTTCTCTGGGCAACCTGTGCCAGTGCCTCAGCACCCTCAGTGTAAAAAATTTCTTCCTTAGATCTCATCAAAATCTCCCCTCTTTCAGTTTAAAGCCATTGCCATTTAGACAGCAGCTCAGCTGTTACTGGAGCTGGCCGAAAGGCTTTCAGGAGAGAACTCTCCAGCAGAAGGTTGCTTTGTCAACAAGTCCTTCTTTTCAGGCAGGAAGGGAGGGCTGGAGGAGACCTTCCGAACTGGCAAACAAGTCTCTCGCGGTCACGAGCTGTCTCGCGTCTCACCCCTACCTCCAAACCCGCTGTCACCCCTCTGACAGCTGCTGCCCAGCCGCTCCAGGGGCTCCATGCCCTGAAGACCTTCGAGCATCCGTTTCAGCTGAACGTATTCACGCGCTGCCCATAGCGACGCGCTCTCCTGACACGTTTTCTTTCCCACAGCTCCTATCAAAAAATCACGCTGGCTGCTCTGTGTAAACACTCCTTTTGCTAAGAAAGCCAACACAAACACAGATGTTTTGAGGACATTAAAAAAAAAAAAAAAATCCAACAATACGAGCAGCTTTTGAAACCAGCTCTTTGTTATCACCACTGTTAAACAAACAGCTTTTAACGATCAGACTTTCATTTCCCCTGTGCCTGTCACAGAGTTGCCAGCTTTAATGAAATCAGAAAAAAAAAAAAAAAACAAAGAAAAAAAATAAATACGTTGGAAGAGCTAAGAACTTTGGGGTTTTTTTTAATCTGAAATCATGAATCTCTCTCTTCCCCTTCCCTTCAGAAGCCATAGCAGTGTTACCAGGATGGCTGGAGCAGAGCAGGGGTTTGGTTGCTGCACAGTGTCATCTCCTGCATCACTCAGCTGTGGACAAGCCTGGTCCCCAAGAGCGTCCCTGGATTGTGCTGCCTGACATATGGGCAGAAAAGGATCTTGAGGTGCAATGTACCCAGCACTGGGTGCTGCTCAGCAGTGCAGTGCTCTTGCAGAGACAGAAGACGCCCCTGTGGCATGAGTAGGATGTAGGAGACCATGGTCCCTTTGCACCTCACTCTAGAGGCTTGCATTCAGTTTTGGACATCACGGTTTAAAGGATACGTTTCCTTTAAACACAGGACAACACAGCCTTTCCCGACCTCACAGGGCTCTTCAGCATGTGAACACCTTCAGCAACAAGAGGTGCCAGGGCCCCCCAGCGATGCCAGCTATGCCCGTGAAGACAGAGGATAGACCACCGTCTGTGCCGTGGGAGACGGCACGTTGCTCATCCAGCCATGGTTCACGTACCAGGCTCCGGTCGGATGACCAACGAGGCGTTCATGGTTTAGGCACTGAGGTAATAGGTGAAGGAACAAACAAAACCGAAGCTGTAGGGCAGCAAATAAAATCAGCAGCAGTAGGTGATGGTAGAGCAGGAGGCATAAGAGCCCTGATGCTCCTCAGCTGAACTCTGCCCCGATCTCTGCTAGATGGACCGTTCACCGGAAGCGGCTCTAGGAGAAACTGGTAGCATTGAAGGCGCTGATGACCCAAGCCCACGTTTCCAGAAACCCCACCACCCTCAGCTTCTCTTGAACCTCTTGGGCAAACCTGTTTCACCAGGGTGAGAAGTGCTGCAGCGCTCGGTGCCACTTTCCAGATCCTTCCCCATGTCCCTCTTCCCTCTGGCAGCGCTCAGCACCTGCTCCCCCATCTGGGGCAGAGGCATTCCCCCGCGGGGCAGAAGAGACGGACGACACGCTCCCGGATCTGCCTTGTCCTCACCCCGTACACAATGGGGTTGAGCATCGGTGGGACCACGACGTAGAGGTTGGCCAGGAGGATGTGAACGTGGCTTGGGATGTGGTGGCCAAACCGATGCGTGAGAAAGGAGAAAAAGGCGGGCACGAAGAACATGAGGATCACGCAGAGGTGGGAGCCACAGGTGCTCAGGGTTTTGAGACGAGCCTCCGGGGACGGAAGCCGAAAGACCGTCCTGAGGATCAGAGCGTAAGAGACAGTGATGAGCACGACGTCCAGGCCGGAGGAGAGCAGAGCCGTGGTCAGCCCGTACCAGACGTTGGCTTTGATGTCGGCGCAGGCCAGGCGGGCGATGCCCATGTGCTCGCAGTAGGTGTGCGGGATGACGTTGTGCCCGCAGTAGGGCAGCCGCTTAAAAAAAAAACATGATGCAGAAGCCCCGGACAACGGCAATCACCGCTATCTTCCCGATCACCGAGGGGGTTAAGGTTGAAGAGTACCGCAGCGGGTCGCAGACGGCCACGTACCGGTCAAACGCCATCGCCAGCAGAACGGACGATTCCACGATGAAGCTGAAATGGGTGAAGAACATCTGTGTAATGCAGGCATCGAAGGAGATCTCCCTGGCGCTGAACCAGAAGATCGCCAGCATTTTGGGCACCGTCGTGGTGGAAAGCATGAGGTCAGCAACAGCCAGCATAGCGAGGAAGAGATACATGGGCTCGTGGAGGCTCCTGTCCGTGATGATGACAAAGAGAAGGACGGAGTTGCCGAACACGGCAGTGATGTACATCAGACAGAAGGGGACAGAGATCCAGATGTGGGACTCCTCCATGCCCGGGATGCCCGTCAGGACGAAGGTGATAGGATCGAAGCTGCTTTCATTGAGCTCAGACATGGTGCCTCGGTGCTCAGTGTCAGCCTGACTCTGCTCTGTGCAAGAAAGAGAAGGGGTGAATGAGACCTGGTGAGCCTGGTGTTTGCCCATGACCCCCTACAAACCTGTACAAACCAGTGCATACAATGCTCTGTTTGCAACTGCCTCCCAACCCGAGCCACTTCTGAAGGCCAAGGGGTTGACTCAACGTGTTTTGCTGCACAAAGAAATCTTTTCATTCTTTCCTATCCACATACAAACCACGTCTGTAAGAAAAATGTCTTCTCTGTCCCTCCATTTGCACCATAAAACAGGCCAGGTCCTTTTCTACCTCTGCTTTATCCACTGTCACAAAAAGCCTGGCAAAAGCTGTAATTCCTTGCCTCGTCGTTGTCGGCGGGCTCTGTATCTGCGTGCACCTGGAAAGCTGTGTGTCTTTGTCAGGACCGTGTGTTTCTTCAGAGAGATGAAATAATACAATCTCTTTCTCTGTTCAGACCAGTGACCAGTTCATTTCTGAGAGCTCCTCATACAAACTTCGAAGATAGGAATAAAAACCGTACCGGTACCAACATTGAGAAGAGTCTCGGATGTGGCTGACATTCATCTACCACCTCTGAAGGTTGTGGTCACCTTTGAAAGTTCTGCTGGACATGTATTTCCACCTCTGTTATCACGTTCACCTGTTTGCAGACACTGCAAAGTGCTTTCTGTGCCTCCTCCCCATCCCACAGGGATTTCAGAGACCCAAATGCTGGCAAACACCAAGGAGGGAAGGGGAGACCTGGGCTGGACTCTCAGCCCATGCCCAAACTTTCTGAATGACCCAGAGCAGACTCCCTGCCTTCCCGCGGAGACGCTGGGTCCTGCCTTTTCCTCTCCTCCATAAAGAGGGGCCAAGACGTGGTGGGCTGCACGGCGTGATCTTTGGACAAAGAAACGGTGGCCCAAAACACAGGACAATGAGCCCCATCAGGGCAGCCAGGTCACGGTGATACTCTGGGGAGAGACCCTGAGCCCAGACTTCTGCACTGATGCTCAGCAGCACAGGACCTTTCCAGCCTCTGAGCTCAACCTCCCACAGTTTTCCCAGTTCCCGAAGCGCCAGGGAAGCCTGGCTGCGGAGCACAGCCCCAGAAGGGCTGATCTGCTCATTTGTAACACAAACCAGCCAAGCCAGCAGAGTCCTCTGTGGACCCTTGAGGAGGAGGAACGCTGCAGGACTGGTTTTCATAGACTCATAGAATCAGAGTGGTTTGGGTGGGAAGGGACCTCACAGACCATCCAGTTCCAACTCCCCTGCCATGGGCAGAGAAACCCTCTACTACACCAGGTTGCCCAAAGCCCCATCCTACCTGGCCTGGAACACTTCCAGGGATGGGGCAGCCACAGCTTCTCTGGGCAACCTGTGCCAGTGCCTCAGCACCCTCAGAGGGAAGAATTTCTTCCTTAGATCCCATCAAAATCTCCCCTCTTTCAGTTTAAAGCCACAGCCCCTTATCACCATATACCCTTGTAAAAAGTCCCACTCTAGCTTTCTTGCAGCCCCCTTCAGGTACTGGAAGACCATCACAGAATGGTTTGGGTTGGAAGGAACCTTAGAGATCACCGAGTCCCAACCCCCCTGCCGTGGGCTTTTATGCGCTGCCGTTTCATGCACTCCCCCATTTGGCCCCTGTTCACAGCCCCACCTCGCCCCCTGTGTGCTCTACATACACTAGAAAAAAGCCCAGCCAGGGTTGGGACGCAGGAAATTGGTTTGATGTGCACCAAAGCTAAGCCTCCGTTCTTCAGACCTGCTTGCAGCCTCTTTTATTTTTATTGTAAACTGCGGATATCTGAGTGCGAGGCGTGTTTGCGCTTCTAAGAATTTCCATCAAGGACTCTTGTCCTCCGTGAACCCAAAGTCCCCTGAAAACACCAGCCAGCACACAAAACATCTTCAGCTCATCATAAATATTTATGCAATTGCCTCTTCCACTTCTAAACCCACGTAATTCAGCAGAGGTGCGTAAGGATAGGCCGGGTCTATAGCTGCAAATTAAATCAGCCTGGGAGCGTTCCCAGGCACCGATGCCCGTCTGCCTACGGATTACAAAGCAGCTCAGCAAGACTTTACACCCCCACTTCTGGGTGATATGGAAATACATTTCTCTCACATGCTGCTTCGCTTCCTTTCGTTCTTCTCGGACAAGACAGCGTTGCCCCAACGCCGGCGTTTAATGGAGAAGGACTCACCCCGGGCCCCAACGAGGAACGCGGTACCTCAGCCCCGACCGGCGCAGAGCTGCCGGGCAGCCCAAAGCCTCATCCGTGCTGCTGCTAGTCCTTCCCCCTCCTGCATCTCAGGAGGAACATCAGCCTGTCGGCTCGCGGAGGTTTAAATGGCCAGTGCATTAAAGATTAACAGCAGTTAACGCTCCCGGCGAGCCAAGGCATTTCCTGCCTTCCCATCATTTGCATGGCAAGGCTGTTCACCCTGTCCCTGCCCCAGCCATTCCTGACCGCGGCGAGGACTTGGGAGGGGACAGGGACCAGGGACGGGCTCGGCGTGCTGCTGGAGCCGCGCTCCCAGGCTCCAGAGGAGCATCTCCAATGTCCAGGAGCGTTTTATCCCCCCCGGGATGAAAATCGCTGAGGCCCCCCGAAACAGCCTCTGAGCTTTGCTCGTGCTGCCACGGGCACCCGCAGAGGGTTCCTCCGCTGCCCGCGCCGGCCCGTGGTCAGTGATCCGCAAACGACGCCGTGAGCGGCCGCGAGCACCAAGCTGCCTTCGCGGCGCTGCGAAACGGAGGGGGCTGCGGAGACTTCCACCCAGCCCGAACTGGCGTCAACTGGAAAAACAGAAACACCACAACTGCATAATTTATAACGTGGCTTTTTGTTATTCCAAAGTAATTTTTAAAGTACATGGTGGTGGCGAAAAAAAAAAAAAAACAAAACAAACCTGAAACAATAGCTCTGTCTGCTCAAAGGATGCAAAAAATGGATGAAAAGATGACCTGGAAATGCTTTTCCTGCAGCCAACATGTTCAAGATCCATCAATGCAGCAGAAAAAAGGGCCCGAATTACTGATCTTTTTTCATCCGGGGACCGAATCAAAACGATGGGAAGTAACTGCATTTTTCCGATGAAACGAAGGTGGATGAATTCTGTACAATCGGCCTGCGGTGACGCGCTCAGCATTCCGTGATTCCTTCTGTTGTTTCACTGCTGTTATTCCACGGTTCAGGAATAGCATGGAACCAACACAGGCAGGCAGAAAAACAGTGCTTGTCTGGGGTTTTTAGCAGTGGTGTGTGAGTACGGATCGTCTCCCTGTGCCAGACTGCCCACCGTGTGCTGAGCCCCTGACACCGGAGCGCCAGGTTTTATCCACCTGGGAGACACCGGGCAGGTTTTCCGATGCCGCTTGTGCCATTAATAACAGGCATCACCTCCGTCCTGCCCAACACGTTTGCTCCGGAAGGTGGATTCGCTTCTGAAATATCACAGTAATTCCCAGTTTAACATCTGCGGCCGGAGATCCCTGCAGGGACACACGGATATCCCCAGGTCTGGGGGCTGCCTGTGCCCCCCGGGCCTCCATGCCCGTCCAGGGGGACGGACCCCGGTGCCACCTCAGGGCTCGGGCAGCCCTCGGTGGGGTTGGCACGTTATTGCTGCCGTGTGGCTGTGTGACGGACCACAGTGCGGGTGTTCGAGGGCATCACAAGGAAAATGGGATTCTGTGGGAATGGTCCAAGACTCCTGAACATCTCAGTGTCCGCAGGACCCAGGACAAACCTTGGGGAGGGCTCATGTGCCAGAAAACCCACCCGTTTTCTGTCAGCCAGCCTGGTAATCGCTCTCCCACCAGACGCCGCCTCGTGTCTTGGCACCCGCGGGTGCGGGAGACCCTTCCTACCCACGTGGAAAGTTCATCTTATCAGCGTGCAGCTTTTAATTTCCTTTTCTTTTCTCTCGCTGCAGTTTCTACGGAAGCCCAAAGCCTTTCAGACCGAGGGACAGCTGTTCCACTTCTCAGCTGTTAGAAATGGGGAGCAGTTTGGATTTCACAGATTCCACATCGGAGGCTATTTTCAGGAAAAGGTGGGGCACTCTCTAGTCACAGACCTAATTAAAGAGGAATCTGAAAATTCAGGTATCTTCCAAAAAAGTAAAGTGTCTCTGCTGCTGGTGAGGGATAACACATCTCTGGAGGACACTACAAAATTATTAAAGCTACAGGTTAAAAACATTTTCTTCTTACCAAAACCCGTACGCATAAGGGCTGACAGCAGAGAAGAGCAGAGCCCGGCTCGTCCCCCAGGTCCCAGGAACCCAGCGATCCGGGAACATCCGAGCCCCCGCTGCGCTCCGATGCGGGGTCCAGCTCAGC